AATACGCGATTTGCACTAAGTGATCACGTGATCTAATCCGCCATTGTGGCTGGTCGCGCGACTACTTTTCGGTATGACAAAAATGTAAACAAAGATGGCGGAGCCGGCTTTTTCGACTTCAAAACAAAGGTGAGTAATGCCATGTCTACGTAGTAACACACCTTTTCTTAGTAACAATATACATTCAGTTGCTTTTTGCTGTCTAGAAATCGAAATGTAAATTCAAAAAACAGAGTTTTTCTTGACATAAACGGCGGGCATGTGTGAAGTTTAGATTTTATCACGACCGTCATTTTTCGTAACCTGACCTTAGTTAAGTGGGACTTTTGAAAAAAATCGCTTCAGTTTTGGACTTTTCTTAGTAGTTAATTAAAGAATATGTGTAAATASAACTATTTTGATGCGGTTTATTGTACTTTGACACATTATATCCTCATTTTACGACAGTGAAACTGTAAGTCTTGACACTATTCCTAAACTAACTTTCGCTGATGTCGAGTGCTACACAAAGAAACTCAGTTCATGTGGAAGTACACAGAAGGCATATAAATACTTTGCTGAGCCTGGATACCTCCATAATATCAAAAGTAGGTTAAATTACTCTTGTTTGACGACATACTATCTTTATATCGATGTATAAATTACATACTTTTTGAAATGTTTTTCGCCGATACCTCAAAAAACATGAAATAACATACTGCTTTTGTTTTTACTTTCTATAGTCTACAATACTAACCAAGAAACATATATATATGCTAATTGTCATCGGTCGATGAAAAAGAATGACCCGCCACATAATTTCATACAAGTATAAATATAGTATCAAAAGAAATTAATGGTAAATGTTCATGTGTCGCTGGACTTGGAGGGTTTTGTCACCACATTATTGGATTACTATTTTTGATAGCACATTACAAACAGCKTGATCTAAAGACTGTACCAGACGAACTAACTTGTACCATGATAGCTCAACGATGGAGCATACCAAGGGGAAAAACTATCAAACCACAGTGTGTTGAAGACATCCTTGTGAAAAAGCCTCAAAGTGGAGCCAACTATAACAAATTTATAATATATATCTGGTCCCAATGAACTAAGAACACTGAAAATGCTTGATCCACAACCACTACTTACTACACTTTTCCCTCATGAATCATCTCCTTCTGAACTTTCTGCAGTCTCAACTAAATTTGGTTTATCAGCCATAGGAAGTGTACTCTCCTACCAACAAAAACTTTCTGCACGATACGTCATTAATGATTACAGTAACTCAGATTTCCCAGACCTTCCTATAGACACCACTCCAAGATTTTGTAATAACGTTTCTCTTTGCTTATCCAATGACAAACATCGTAAATTTGAATCACTTAGAATAACATATGACATGTCTAGGATAATTGAAAAGGAAACAAGGGATCAAGATGAAAGTGCTATATGTCATTCCCTAAGACTCACTAGAATAACAGCCAGCAAGTTTGGATTGGTGGCCAGAAGAATTTCAAATTTTGATACACTAGTACAACAACTAAGGTCATCAAGACATGTGCAAACAGCAGCAATGAAAAGAGGAAGAGAAATGGAGGCCATAGCTGCTGGTGTGTATGCAAGAAAGGAAAAAAATAACAGTGTGAACATCTTCCCATCTGGATTGGTACTGCACCCAGAATGTCCCTGGCTTGGCTGTTCTCCTGACAGAAAAGTTTTTGACTTGGAAGAACTCAAAGATGGTGGTAATCCTTATGGGCTTCTAGAGGTTAAAKTTGTAAAGGAGGGGGCAGAGAACTTTGACAATGTGACCTATCTTAAAACTGACCCCAACAGTAATGAATTAGTTTTAAACACTCATCATATCTATTATTATCAGGTACAATGTCAATTAGCTCTTACTGGATTAGATTGGTGCGATTTTTKTAGTTATATTAATGATGACAAATACTTTTGTCAAAGAATAATTTATGATGCAGACTTTTTTCAAGAATGCAAGGACAAAGTTGATACTTTTTATTTTGATTTCTTTTTGTAAAATTGTACTTAATGATGTAATTAAGCACTTATATTGTAATTATATATACATATTATGTAGGTTTTACACTGCTGCATAAAAAACGTCTATTTGACAATCACATGTCTAACCTCTTTGGTTATTTTTGATTATAAGTGTCCAGATCTGATTAATTGAACCAAGCAGATTTAATGGTATTACAGAACTTAAGATGTGGAATTCTTTTATACGGCGAATTGCCCTTTCTACATGGATTCTTAGACTAGCTATTACTTTAGTCTCCTTTACCTGGTCACTAGTGAACTGCTTATTGCTAGACAAGTATGGAGGTAAATTTAATTCTACTTGTTTACAGCCTTTTGCACAAATTATGAGACATTTTTATATATATAAATATACAGCCTTTTGCAAAAATTGTGAGAATTGTTGAAATATCTAAATATCATAATATCAAGTGCATGATGGGTAATCCCGTGCGATTCCCTTAGTCCCTTGTCTTTGTAGTTTATTTTTTGTTTTGGCGACAGACTTATCCGTAGTTCTGAACATTTTCTCGATGTCAACAATGAATTATTCTAGCAAACCCGCGTGTTCCGGACAATATATGGATATGGATATTATGATATTTAGATATTTAGACAATTCTCATAATTTTTGCAAAAGGCTGTACCTAACCAAATATCAAAAACACCCAAGAAATTATGGGATACCGTCGCTGATATTTTGTCTGTAACAACCTGATGCTAGGCAATCATGACAAAATATCAGCGACGGTATCCCATAATTTCTGGGGTGTTTTTGATATTTGGTTAGGTATATTTATATATATAAAAATGTCTCATAATTTGTGCAAAAGGCTGTACATTGTAAAAGATCTTGTATATCAAAGCTTTTATCAGCCATTACACTTTCATTGGACTCCAGTAAATCTAAAATACCAGAACACTTTGTAATTTCCTTATCTGAAATTGAACCAGTATACAAGCTCGATACAAAGCACATTGCACCGTGTGGTGTGATGCCTACAAGACCCTTTAAAGTGGTACTGCTTTTATAATTACTATACAWTTGACTTTGAAGTAACAAAGAAGATGGAACCTGAACTTTGAGTTCAGTACAATCAATGACTACTTTTGTTGTTGGGAATAAAGACTTAAACCCCAGGGGACTATGACGTTGGACATCCTCTAATGTGGGCCATATTGGTTGAGAACAAAGAAAAAAACACAAGTAATTAGCCCATGTTGTAATTTTTCTACTAACTGTAGATACGTGTATATTAAATCGATTAGCTAAATCTTGCTCCAGATCCCCTGTCCTTACCCTGACCAAAAACATAAAAAATTCATCAATCAGAACCATTTTCCTACCCCCGGGTCTATTATTGGCCATGCCACTAGCATAACAGTATGTCATATTTTCAAGACTAGGCTTCATTAAATCAAAAATAGTAACAAAATGACTATAAGTGGGGAAACCTGTGTAAAACTTTATGTTGGCATCATCATTTATGAATCTTTCAACTCCAAATTTGTATATTTTCAGGGATTTAATTTTCTCTCTAAGTGCCTCTATTTCTAGTTTTGCTGCTTTCAATTCATGTTCCAGGGTCTGATCTGCTTTCTTTTTTCTTCCGGTCCATTAGCTTCAGTGGAGTTATCACTACAGCATGTGAAATGAGATTTTGAGTAAAATGTGTAAATGTAATTGCCTTAAAGTCGCCTTGACGAATTTTAATAAGCCATTTAATGCGTAATTCTTGATCTGCTGGAAATCGATGGAATGTCACACCTGTTATTTCTCGATTGTGGCAGTCGGCTACACAACAAGTGAATTTACTCATCTGCAAAAATTACAAACACCACAGTTTCAAGTCTGCTCTACTTTGCMATGATCATTAAATACGTATTTCAAGCCAATAAGACCCAAGGATAACTTTGCATACTCTATTTTCATCGTAGATGGATTCTTGGACATAAGAAAGTAATAAAAAGGATCAATAATTTGTCAAAATCCCGCTGATTTGCAATCAAAGTGCCGGGAATAGCGATAGCTATCGCGATCTCAGTCCTCACTTATGCTGTCAATTTTGGATGCAAAAGCATGACTTTTTAAAAGTTTATATTCATCTTATGTCAAAATCCAGCAGAATACACGTTTCTTCAGTTTTTTCAGTGGAAAAAAATGTAATGTTTTGGCGTAAAAAATACTAAAACTCACCTTTGATTTGATGTCAAAAAAGCCGGCTCCGCCATCTTTGTTTACATTCCTGTCGTGCCAAAAATTGTCGCGCGAGCAGCCAAAATG